GGTAGCCTGAAAATAGAGATCTCTTTGGTGACCATATGTTTACTACCCACACTACTATTTGTCAGGCTCTGCTCTTTCCCATTCCGATCATATGATGATAGCACTTCATCCTCCATCACCGAAGATTGGTTGTTTATCACCCAGTATGGACCACCCCCAGCATTTCTGTTTGACTTGGAAAGGAAGATTCTTTGTATCCAATCTGGTTGTGACCTATTAGGATGCTGAGAAGTGCATGGTGTGTTGTCTGCTTCTGTAAAGAATTGGTTGGAAAGGAAGGGCTGATATTCAGAGGCAGCAGAATTGAGACTGGAGAGAGGCCATCCTGTCATCATCAGAGCCGCCTGTGACTCAGGTCTTCCTGGAGCCCAGAGACATCCCAATTTGTTCAGATGGTCCAGAACACTGGTACCCTGGGTGCTGCTAGGAGATAAAGTAGGACAGTTGGGTTGAAGAGACAGCAGGACACAGATCAGAAGGGATCAGAGGAGGGAGTATTGGTGTTATTCTGAGGGCAGAGGACAGTCATGGAAAGAGGGCCTTAACGAGGGAGAGACAGTCATTCTGGACCAATAGGCAAGACTCACTTGGAGGGACGGATAGAGCCTGGTGGCAGGGGAGTTAGCGAGCAGGTTTACCTCCTCATCCTTGCCCCAGACTTCATGAGGCAGGCGAGGCCTGGACTTCAGAGCCAGACCTGAGGTTTCTAATCACACCCCCAGGTCTCAGTTGCTGTTTGACCTCGGGCAAGTTATATGAGCTCTGACCTGTGTCAGAGGGGAATAAAGGTGGCACTGGGGAGAGAGATCAGATTCCATATGATCATTAAACTAGTGTGGAGCTGGTGTCCAGATATCCAGGTTTTTATCCTAGAGAGTCTGAGAAAAATTCCATGCACGTGGAAATGCCCCTGCATAGAAATCCACACCAGCCCAGCTCCCTTCCAACCACAGCCAACCTTCTACCGGAGCTCCTACTCATCTTCCATGAACTGACTCCGCAGGAGGAGAAGACAAGCCGGGGTGTCTTTCCAGGGACCAGAGTTAGGGAAGAAGGATCTCTGAGGCAGCCCTAGAGAGCAATGTCATTGTGCCCCGTGAGTCCCCAGGCCTTCCCTCACCCCCAGGCAAGTTCCAAACTACAGGTCATGTCCTGTTTCTCAGAAATACTGCCATTTCCCAGAGCCCAGCATTCTGAGGAGGATGGGAAGAGGTAACTCCACAGCTGCTTGAGGAAGAAGAGGAGGAAGAATACCCAGGAACTTGGGGGTCAGGTCTGGCATCACAATAGGATTGTCCAGTTTGGGGCCCAGGAAGCTACCTGGGAAGCTTCTGAGCCCAGGTCTTCTGCACCTGCCCCAGCCCCGGCTATGGCCCTTTCCAGTGCTCTGGGATCTGGAAGGATACAGTACGAGTTACCTCTGTTGGAATCCTACTTTTCCATTTAGCACTGTGTGATTTTTGTTGGTCATTTTCTCCCCTTGAGCCTCTTCTCTGTGATATGGTTAATAATCCCCACACCACTCCTCACACTGGGTTATTTTAGGGATCGGATGAGACTGAATTTGAATGTGCTGTGCTTACTAACAGCCAGGCATGTGGGAGAGGATGTCACAGGCTACCTCAAGAGACAGTCGATTCATGGGACACCCTGCTGGGGTCTGGGGGAAATTGTTCAGGGGAAAGTTGGGAAGCCCTGGAGACCGCCTCTCCTTTCTCCCGCATCACCGGCATGGGAGACAAGCCAGGATTTACATAGTGAGTTTATAGCCAAGAAAGAGTGAGTTTTAGTTTGTCTCTGAGTTCCTGAACCTTACCTTCTTCATCCTCACTCCTGTTTTTTCTCCTTTTACTTCTCCCATGGCATCTTCTCATCACCAAAACTGGCTGGATTCTATCCCATCTAATTCCCCCTCTTCCATCCTACATGCATGGCCAGTCCTCCTCCTCCTCTTCCTCCTTCTCCTCCTCCTTCTTCTTCCTCTCTCTCTCTCTCTCTCTCTCTCTCTGTCTCTGTCTCTGTCTCTCTCTGTGTCTCCCTCTCTACTGGAAACTGAACCCAGGCAGGGCCTCACACACATGCTAGGCAAGCTCTCTACCACTAAGCTATACCCTACTAGAGGTGATGAACCTATGACATGAATACCACAGAGCCCTGTCTGTATGCATGTGAGCCAAGTTGCCCCAGGATGGCCATGTTGTTTTTCTAAACTAAATCCTCAGTATTCAGGTTTAATTGTAGTGTTAGCACTTTGCATATATAAGTGGGTTTGGGCACTTGGTGTCTAAAAGGTTCACCATCACTGTGCCTATGGGGACAGGGTCTTGCTAAGTTGCCCAAGCTAATCTTGAATTTAAGATCCTCCTGGATCAGCCTCCCTAGTAGCTAGGATTAGCACTACTACATCCAGCTTTCTCTCTCCTTCTCTACTGCCAAATTTCTTAAATTGCCTGTGTTCTTCTCAGACATCACCTCAGCCCTCCAAGCCCAGCTTCTCCCTCTTGGCTTTCCTATCTTTGGTGATTGCCATGGTCATCAAAGCTCACTGTGCCCACAGAGGACCCTTTCAGGCCTAAATCATCAGAGCTTTCAGCCACCATGCCTCCTGCTTTCTCTCTGGCCTCTGTGGTTATTTCCTTGCTGTAGGGCTCTGTCCTGGTCCTTTTTCTCTTTTTACTTTATAATCTCTCCCAAGCTATGGTTCTCAGTCTCCTGGCTTTTAGTCACCAGTTCCAGGCCAGCAGCTCCCAATACCCCACCTCTTGGCCCACCTTCTCTCCAGACCCATAATAACCCACAGGACTGTGGCTATCCCCTGAGACTATAGGTGTGTCCAGGGGTTGCCAAGTGAGATTCCAGGTACACACTGACCCCTTCTGATCCCTCCAACCCATGCCCAGGCAATCACCCACTCTGCTTTCCCCAGCGTCCCCCTCACTGAGCTGCTGTCCTGCCTCACCTGGGTTTCCATCACTGCCCCTACCTGGTCTCAGCCTTCTTCTTGCTATTCCTCAGCAGCTGCCAAGCCAGCGGTCTGAACTGCAGATCTGAGCACAGCATTAAAGTCCTGCCAGGGCTCCTGCTGCCCTTGGGTTGGAGTCAGGGCTTCTTAGCTACACAGGCAGCCTCATCTCCTTTGGCTCCTGGCCTCAAACATTGTCCAGCAACAGAGAGCTGTTTGTGATTCTCTCTGTCCTATATACTATTTTTCATCTTCTACAAAGAATTCTCTTCTATGCCACCACCACCTCTCTCTCTCTCTCTTTCTCTCCCCCTCCCCACCTTCTTTCCTACCTCCTGTCCATCCTTCAGAGCCCACATAAGTGTCCTGAGTCCAGGTTGGAGCTGTGCTCCTCACAGTCCTGGCCATCACTACCCTCGGCACTCAGGCAATGCTGTCTGCGATGCTTCTGTCTCTTCGAGCTCCGCCGCAGAGCTTAGGGCTTCCCCAGGACAGGATGGGTAATACTGGCCCAGAGCAGCTTAGATGTCTCATGAATACAGAGTGGAAGCAGAAGACAACTTGGAGTGGTGTGAACCAAGTACAACTGCTCGATTCACACAGTGAGGCTTGTGTTCGCACTCTCAGAAAGGTCTGGACCAAAGTAAAGGGGGTTTGATGTATTGAACATACAGAGATCACCACACGAATGGCTGAACTTTTATATTCTACAGTGCTTTAAGCATGAATGCTCAGAACCCAAGCCCAGGGTTCCATGTTAAGCTCCCATAGTGAACAAGCCAGGCTGCAATGATGTCTTCTTTAGGAGGGACACGCAGGGATGGTGAGAGGAGGAGTGGATGTCTTCTGACTCAGAGGACAAGAGGGAAGTTCTGGCCACATTCCTCAAATCTCTGACTCTCCAGGTCCCCCAGAGCTGGCAAAGGGAGTTTAAGGAAGGTGACACCCATCCCTGCTCAGTGAGTATGGCATTGTTGGGCTGCTGAGCAGACTTCCTGGGCCTCAGGAACTCTGGATTGGAGACTAAGGCTACGGAGACAACAGCCAGCGCCCTCTAAGTGGCCGTACGAGTCTGGCCAACAGGTCCCTGACTCTCTGGAACTTCTAATCAGGCCTGGGCGAGCAGGGCTGGGGATCTGTGGTTGTGGGATGGTTGAAACCAGCTGTGCTGAGAGCCTGACTAGTGAGTCAGGAGGCCTAGGGTCTGCTTCTGCTTCATCACCCATCACTGTGAGGCTTTGGGGGAGACATCTGCCCTTCCTGAGCCTCTGTTTCCCCCTCTCTGAAGTTCAGGTAAATTCTAATCAGTTGGCCTTAAAGGGAAGCAGGAGCCTTAAAACGTCTTTAAAATTGCCAGGACTTGTACATGTGGACAGGATAACTTCTTGATTTGTCATTAATTGTGAATGTTAGGCCTTCCTCTCAGACCATAGTGCCAAGCTGGCACTGTCACTGCAGAGCTTTGGAACTCCTCGGAGGCGGGATGTTTGGGCTTCTAACATTGGTCACGGCTGCGTGGAACTGGGGAAGGAGTGCTGGGCTGAAGCAAGGTCCCTGGCTTCCAACTTCAGCTCTGCTACTAACCAGTCCTGTGCCTTCAGGCAAATCACTACTCCTACTCCTCCCTAAGCTCAGTTTCCTCATTTTAAAAGGGCCAACAATGGTGAGGGCCCTGGGGAAAGTGCTTAGAGGCTCCATTCACCATCCCCCAGCTAACTAGAGCCAGTCTCCCTTCTTAGGCTCAGTGTCAGGGGTAGGGGGAGGTAGGGGGATTCCCCCTAAAAGCAAAAACTTCTGTAGTTGGGGGCATGGGGACAGAAGCAGTGCAGCGCAGAGGACAAGGCACTGTGGCATTCAAAGGGCAAGGCAAGGAGTCTGAACTATCCCTGGCTTTGGTGACAGCCACCATGAGGACTGGGACCAATCTCAACCCCTTCTCAGTCTGCTTCCACCCCTGTAAATTGGAGATAACCAGGCCAGCCTTGCAGAGACCCTGGGAGAGCATGTAGGAAACTGGATGTGAACGCAGCAGGCAGGGTTGAAGTGTAATGCAATTTATTTATTAATATATAATAACAAAAATGATAGAACTCATATCTGCAGTTACTTAGGTCTTTGTTATAAAGTCTTGGTTGCTTTGTCTGGACTGGCTGTGACCTTCAGCTCTGGAGTCTGAGCTAGAAAGATGTTCCAGTAACCTGTATGGCGGGAAGTGGAAGAGAGAAGAGGGCGTGTGTGCACATGTGCATACAGCAGTGCATGTACAATATGCACAACTGTGCATGTACAGCAGAAGTGGTGACTCTGTTGTACTTGGGAGAAAAGTTTAGTGCGGGAGCAACTGTGTGGGCTCTGGGTGGAGCCCACAGGGAAGGTGGAGATGAGTACCTCCCTCCTACATTTCTGCCAAGTGATGCTGCCTTCAGACAAACTGCACTTCAGGGCTGGGCTGGGCCCATTGGTAACATCCCCATCTGTGACCTGTACTCTCCAGTCTGAAGCCCCACCTGACTCCCTCTTCCTAAGAGTAATGCAGAGCAAATTAATAGTACAAAGGAAGGTTTCAGTGGGAGCTGTTCCAGAAGAAAGGGAGTGGGCAGCACCAGGGTTTGGGGGCTCCCCCAACCCCACAGCCAAAGCCAGCCCAAGCTGCTTCACCTTCCCTCTCCTGCTTCCAAGTTGGGACTCTGCCCCGCCCCCCTCAGGATTCCAACAGCCGGGACCTGAGGTCTGTGGCTGACAGCACCCGCCCCAGCCCCCCCTCCAGGCACCAGCAGCCTCCTTTCTGCTCTCCTCTAGACTCCATTCCTCAGACCAAGGTCCCACCTTCGTGGGTGCTGGTGAGCAGCCGGAAGTTCTGGGCCTCTTTCTGGAAGTCCTGCTTCCTGACTTTCTTGATCTGAACCAAGTGGAAGATTCCTGAGGGTAGAGACAAGGGCATGAGCAAGCAAGGCAGGACCTTGCACTCAGTGAGGCGGGTGACTTAGACTCCAAACTGACCTAGCCGCCTCCCTCTCCTACCCCCATTCTGATCAGACACCAAATTCTGTGGAAAAATTCGCCTAAATGTTTTGAATCAGATTCAAAACATTTAGCCTATTGCCACTCTCCTTCCTCAGGTCCCCACTGTCTTTCTTGTGTGCCTTACTGGATGGATGGATGTACAAATATCCAATCTAGAGTCTTAAGCCCTTTTGCTCCCCTGTAATCCTAGTGGTGGTCATTTGACTTGTGCATGTCACTCTGTTGGTCCCCTTCCCTTGCTTCCTGTTGCCTCCACAATAAAGCCCACATCCTTTACCCTCTTTTCTCTCCTGACCCTGCTCCTGTCACCAGCACCATATGTTCTCACACAGCTCACCTGTCCACAGTGCCAGGAAGAAAAGTGAGAAACAAGGAAAGAAAGAAGGATGGGAGGCAGGAAAGGGGGAAAGCTTGGTGGCTGGCCCATATAGACTGGCCAAGGTTTTCTCTAGGCATAGAACATATGATAAAAGTCAATCTTTGCTTATTCGGATACCAAAGAACTAGAGTTATAGTGCCTTGGCTGTGGTCCAGCCCTAACCAAACACTTGAAGTCCCTGATGGAGTCATGGCTTCACAAATGCCAGCCCCTCTGCTGGAACACCTTCCACTAATATCTTCTACTTCTACTTATCCAAGTGAACCACCCATCTTCCAAGCCTTAGCTAGGGATTCTTTCCTAATGGATCCCCAAGGCAGTTATAACTCCTCCTCAGGGCACTCACAACACTTGGCTTCTGTTCATCATTATACCCATTTCTAAGGTGCTATCATGATGTCTCTTTCTGCCTCTACTAGTCTTTGAACTCCTGGAGGCTTTCCTCTGGGGGTCCCGAGCTTGGACCCCATTAGGCATTAGAATGAATCCCTGGATGGATGGATGGATGGATGGATGGACAGATGGATGGATATACAGATTCACTCTAGGTGAGGCCCTGAAGAGATAAGTATTTGCTGGATCCCCTCATGTTTGAGTGTCATGGGGATATGGCCACTGGCACCTGACACCACACATGGCACGGAGGCCCTGAACACATGGCTGTGGTGCCATACCAGCCGTTACCCACCAAAGGCTCTGGCCAGAAAGAACAGATGGAACCAGCAAGGCCCCTCTGAGGGCAGCACCACCTTCAAAAAAAACCAAGAACCAGAATGCTTATGGGAATCAGAGTGAGACTCTATCAAAGGGAACAGGAAACACTGATCCTGGGACTGGGTTTTATGAATCAGGAAATACCTAGCACTGTCCTTGGGACCCTCAGCCCAGCTGCCAAGAACCAGGATAGAGTAGCTCCAAAGACTCAGGCACTGCAACAGAGAGGCAGGCAAAATCCATGAAATGAAATGCAGATGGGTCCTTCTGCACAAGCCTGCTGCTGCATGCTCCACAAGACACAGAAAAATTAAAAAAGAGGTGACAAGGATGAAGGCAGTTCCCACACTGTAGTCTGTAGAGCATGATGGAAAGGAAAGGCTCTTTGCCTTGGAATCAAGAGCTAGCCTGAGTGCCACGGTTGTACCTGTTGCCCTTTGAAGGGCTGTGCCATGTCTGAGAGCTCTAGGCCCTCTGGCCCCCAAGGCGGAGTTGGCACTGGGGGATAAGTTCCAGGAAAGAGACGAGTTCCACTCATTGTGAGGACAAACTGTCTCTGGGCTGAGTTGCTTGCTGTGTTGGGAGTGAGTCATCTGCTGGGGAGTGGAAGTTGGGGGGGGCATGAAGGACCAGAGATCATCAGGAGATTGCTGAGGACTTTCTCCCAGGCAGGGATTGGAAGTGTGACCCTTGAAGTCTTTTCTACCCTGAAACTCCAGAGCCTCAAAGGCCTTTCATTCTAAGTCAAGTCTCTGTTCTGATCCTGCCTACCTTGTTCCACCCTTTTGAGTGAGGGCACAGGGAGGGATGTCAGCTGACAGCCTGGGGAGTATTTGTTTTGACTCTTGCAATCTGGGATGGGGAGGGAATGACAAGGCTGATGGGAGAGTTTTGGAACCCAGGGGTTCAGGAGACAGGAACTGTTGCTAGTGACAGGAGGTAGGGCCTAGCATTGTGAAGCTGTAGGAACTCCCCTTTTTCCTCTGGACCTGTGATGATGAGATTGGCAGTGAACTACACACACTCTGTCACATTTTGGGACTCCTTGGATTTCCTCAGGCACCTCCTAAAAGAATAAGGTCGTCTCTGTGGAGGTGGCACTGGGGACAGTCAGACCTAGGTCTGAATCTTTCCTTTAGCGTTTAAATTGTGTGCCTTTAGCGAGCCATTTGACCTCTCAGATTTTTCCTTTTCTTTTTTTTGTGGGGGGAGAGGTGGGGGGCAGCCAGGCTTGAGAAAGGGCCTCACTATGTAGTCCAGGCTGGCCTTGAACTCATAGTAATCCTCCTGCCTCAGCCTCCCGAGTGCTAAGATTATAGGCATGCACCACCATGCCTGCCTTCTCAGACTGTTTTCTTATCTGCAAAGGGGCACAAGTACATAGCCCTTAGGTGTCTTATGAGGATTAAATGAGGCACATTGGACCCAGTGCCTGCTAAACACCGATCACAGCACCGGGCACGTCCATGTGAGCTCTGGATCCAGAGCCCGAGGCTGTCGCTGCCATCCTGCCTTCAGAGCACCCTCTTGCCTCTCCAAATCCCTGTGCCTCCCTAAGTGGTGGACACCCGTCCTCTCCAAAACCTTCCCTGAGCACCTTAGTTCCCATCAGTTCCTCCTGCACCCAGGTCATCAGGCTGGGTGTTGCTAAGGACGGAGGCTGGGGCTTATTACTTTCGGGGGTCACAGCACTTGCTGGGGTGGGAGCAGAGTTGTGGGGAGGCCCCTAGTAAACCTTCAGCCAGGACCAGTAGACTCTCCAAGCTCGAAACAGTGGTAAGAGTTACTGTATCTAACTCGGGAGGCTGTTGCAGCCACCCCAGCCAGCCCTGTGTGCACTCTTTCCCTAAGAATGGAATCCATGGGCCAGGGATTTGGCTCAGTGGTGCCGCCGTCTGCCTCACAAGTGCAAGGTCCTGAGTTTGATCCCAGGTACCAAAAAAATAGAAAGAATAGAATCGAGTGGAAACCTGCCCCTGCAATTCTAAACAACCCATGCGGTGGGAGCAGGACGCTGACATTTTCAATGCCTGTTATAGGAGCTGTCCCTGTGCCATTTCATTTAATCCTCCAAAGCCCATCTTTGCCCAATTATCAGAAGAGAAAACTGTGGCCCAGAGAGGTCAAGGGGTTGCCCAAAGTTGCAGAGCTAAGAAAAAGCAGAGCCAGGATTCAAAGTGGCAGAGGTAGGATTTGAACCCAGGTCAGCCAGATTCCAAAGCCCCTGCTTGTGGTCTGATCCTTGCAATCACTGAGAATGTGGCTGTTCCCTCTGCCTGGGGCAGCCCTTTACAGCCATGAAGCCAGCAGTCCTGACCCCCTGAGTCTTCTCTTCTCCAGGCTGAACAGCTCCACTTTCTTCGTCCATTCCTCCTACAACAGGGGGCAGAGTAGAACAGGAAAAGAGCCGCATATGTCCAAGACATAGGCTCTAACACCCGTCTTCCACTTACTGGCTGTGTGCCCTTGGGCCAGGTACTTCACCTCTCTGAGTCTCAGTTTCCTCATCTGTAAAATGGGGATAATAATGCCTAACTCTCAGGATCATCAAGGATCAAATAAAATAGCGAATGTGGAAGCACTTTGGAAACTCTAAAGTGCTAAGCACATTGGTTGTTATTATCATTGTCATCATTCTTGCTGTCATTCCTTCTTCCTCTCTTCTCCCCCACTCCCCCAAGCCCATCACCAGTGGAGAAAAGTAACCTTGTCACCAATTTATATTTAAAGAGTTTAGTTTGGGGCATGGTACTGTTTCCTCTACCCAAAGAATTTATGTTTTACAAGAAGGGCCAAAGTCTCAGCAAATTATCAATGCAAACTCCTCTTGACCTTCACTCGGTGATATGAGCAGCCTGCTAGATAGAGCCAGTTTTCTCAAAGAATGAGAAATACGTTTTAATGTCAACTTACCGTAGAGCGATAGGATCCACCACTGAGAACAGACGGAGTGAAACCAGCCTCAAAACCTCCAGCTTTGGGGATGCAGTGAGGCCTCCCTGCCTGGATAGATCTCCCCCATGCACTGGTGAAATCCTGCCATTAGCTATTGATTCATTAGGGGTGGCTCCTTGTAAGGTGTAATAACCCCTTCTGCCCAGGAGAGGGAGCACTCCAAGGCCTGGCGTCTCAGAGTGAGTGAGTTTATCAGAGCTGTCAGAGAATCACAGGCTGAATCTGGGACTCTTGGAATTCGGGATTCTTACACCTGCAAAGGGCAGCCAGAGGCAGGTGGCCAACAGAGTGTTTTTAAATCCCATGTGGAGTCTGGAGGACAGAAAGAGAAACAGGCCAGAGGCACACCCAGCTAGGAGTGGACCACTCACCTTTTACCAGTTTCCAGAGGTAGATCTCCACCTGGTCTGAGGCCTCATGCTCAAGGGCAAAGCGATGCAGGCTGCCTGGGCTTGGGGACACGGACGTGTGGATGAGGACGCGGCTCGGTGCCTTGGGACACCTGGTGGAACTGATCTCACTGTGGCCAGGATCTGCCCTGTCCTCTAGAAGAGACAAGGAGCTCATGAAGTGTTCAGTCAACACTGGCTCTTCCTTGAAAGCTTTGATGTTCTAAGCTTTATGATTTCACAGAGACCAGCACATTATTTGATTCTACATCCATGTCAAGAAGCTCTGAGCCTGTTACCTTAACATTAGACAGGTCCGTTAAAGCCTCACAGTCCACTCCTGTGTTTCTAATAGCCCAAGCATCTACAGCCCCTGCAGCTGAGTGCATGCACCTCCTCCTCTGAGGAGAGAGACCTAGGGCTCACTCTGGTCAATGCCCTCCCTGCTCCAGCACCTCCTTGTACCTGGGCAAATCTTGCAGCACTTCCCGGCCACTCTCTTGGGATGATGGCAGGGATACTCGGCAGGGCAGGTCACGTGCTGGCAGTACTGGCGGCCATCCTGACAAGTGCACCGGATGCAGGGCAGGGGGCCAAAGGAGGGGAAGACTGGGTGCCACACCTCCCCGTGGGAGTATGTCTTCCCCCGGTACACACAGGCTGGGACAAGGAGGGCAGGAAGAGGGGTCAGTGTCTCAGGCCTGGCCAGATTCTTTGGTCCAGCAGTGGTTGGGGGACCCCTTGGGGAGAACCCTTCACCCAGTATGGGCCAGTCACAGTGCCTGCAAAGTGCAAGCCAGAGTATAAAACCTGTCTTCTGGCCCTGACATCCCCCATCTCAGCATCTAGGGCTGAGAGTCCCAGTAGGGACTTGCTGAAGATGGAGCGTCCTTCCTGGACTTAGGGGATCTTCCGCTGGAGCAAGAAGAGTGCTGGCCTGGCAATAGGAGACCTGAGATCAACTTTTGTTATGGCCTGCTTGCGAAAGTTCTGACAGGCCCCTTTCCTCTTCCCTGCCTTAGTGAACCATCTGTCCAACAGACCAAGATTCAGTAGCCCCATGGGTTCCCCCTCCCCACCAGGTGGGGACCCCTGCAGAGAGGCTTCTGTCTTCCCTTTCTGCAGCTAGAGCTGGCCCACCCCATCCCCACTGGCCCCTGTGGCCTGGCCCCTCTCCACGCCTTCCTTCCTTTGTCTCAGCGTTGCCTTATATTAAAGTAATTTATTCATGTGACTGTCTCCCCTGCTAGTTTAAAAGCCCTTTATCTCTCTCTTATTTCCCCTCCATTTCACACTAAAGACAAGGCAGATGCTAAAAAATATACTGTTGTACTGTTCCAGAACTTATTCTGTCTCTAATGGTCCTCATCTATCAAACAAGGGTTAGGCCTTCAAGCATTACTTCAGCTTTGATATTCTATGAGTTTCAAGCTCGTGGCTAAGTCGAGAATGGGGAACCAGAATAGTAGGGGAAAGTGAAGGAGGTAGGAGCAGTTGGGGCCCCCCTTCCCCATCAACAGATTGGAGGGGAGTTTGGTCCTCACCTTTGTTATGTGTATCCTTCAGGACAATCTTGACAATTGTGCTGCCTGGTCCCTTTGGTCGGAAGTGGCGGTGAGAGATAAAACCCAGAGGGGAGCTGGGCCCAGTGGGGGCCGGGGTGCCTGGGCCTCTCTTTCTCCCGCCTTCACTGGAACATGGGTCCTGGGAACGTCTCTGCAAATAGCAGGAAGGGCACAGGTCACTGAGTGCAACAGGCCACTGCTGTAGAGGAGATGTGAGCCAGGCTGCAGCAGGAGGCCTGAGGGTGGGCACCAGTAGACTTGCCAGTGAAGAGAGGCCCTAAACCCTAGATAGAAAGTTCTAGATGGGCTCTAAGACATTCTCAGATGGAGATCTTTGAAAATCTCAAAGAACCATCTGTAATTGGAAAGCCAGCCTCCACCAAGCCCTTCTCAGGCCTTGTCAGACTGGCTCCTTGGGTCTGGGCTGGGAAGAGAGTACTGAGGTCTTGATCTGGGAGACATAACTGACCAGGGATGTGAAGAAGTTAATAAAAAAAAAGAAGCAGCCAGATGTGGTGTTGCCCAGCTGTGGTCTCAGGACTCTGGGAGGAGAAGGCAGGGGAATTGCAAATTCAAGCCCAGCCTGGGCAACTTGGCAACTTAGCAAGACCCTAGCTGGAAATTTAAAAAAATGAAAAAGGGCTGAGTGTTGTAGCTCAGTGTGAAAACCCTGGGTTCAATCCCCACTACTGCCAAAAGGAAGGAAGGAAGGAAAAAGAGAAAAGAAACAGAAGAAGGTGAGCATGCAGTGTGGATGTGAGCTAGAAAATTCTTTGTCTGAGAAGAGTTAAATGATGGGACCGGGGGATGAGCTATAAAGATCCCAACAGGCTCCCGAATCCCACAGGCCAGGAAGACCAAGATCAGGCCCCATCCAGAGACAAAGCGTCTTTGGAGCTCAGGCCCCATTTCTGAATCCCTGAAATCAAGATCCCAAGACCCTGCTTCTCCAGACCAGGTTTTTGAGGGCTGCAGGGATGGGAAGGGTGGGTAGTGAAGAGAGCTTATAGAGCAGGAGCTTTGAAGCTTAGTTTGGGCACTGGTCAGCTCTGGGCATGGCAGAGGTGCAAGGGGGTGCAGGTAGAGAGCAGAGCCTGTCATTTCCCTTGCTGACCCAGGGTGACTTACATCACTTCTTCTACAGCCCATTCCTGACCCATACAGTCTCCCAGGCAGTTATTTTACAGCCCCGAGACTGAGCCCACAAAAGCTCCCAGAGTGGAAACTGTCTCAGGCACCAACATAGGCCCAGGCACACAGGAAGTTCTGAGGACAAGCTTGTTGAGCAGAATTGAGGCAGGAAGGATTTGGAGAACCCAACCCCCAAATGGGGACCTGTCCAGGTCATCCAGAAGTCAGTCAGCAGCTGCTCAGGGCCTGGGACTAAGCCTGGGTGGGGCTCATTTTCACACTGCCTCCTAGGGAAAGGATGGAAAGGAAGGGATGGCTTAGGTCCCATGGCATAGGCCCCACCAGAGAAGGCCCAGCCTGGAGAAGAGGAACAAGTTGGCAGAGAAGTAGAGGTCTTGAGCTTGAACCCTGGGGATCCCCTTGTGCTCAGGGCACAAAGATAGCAGGTGGAGTGGTTCGCATTACAGACATGAGGACTGATGGGGACTTGAGTTAGTGTGTGGCTCATTATCCCAGCTCCTCCCTCTCAGACCAGAGCGAGCTGAACTTCAGACAAGATCAAAAGGGCCCAAAATAGACAGAGGAAAAGAAAGGCAGACCTCAGACAAAGAGCCAGTGCCCCAGGAACTGGGTGGGGAAGCCTGACCCAAACCAGAGGTGCCTCCCTTAGGAGAATTGCTTCTGCATGGAGCCTGGGCTGAGGACAGACAGGAGGGAAGACAGACAGGAGGGAGGACAGCTCAGGAGGGAACATTGCCAATTCCCAAGATGGAGAAGAGGAAGGTTGGGGCCAGCTCCTGCCCTGTGTGGCAACCTGTTTTCTGCCAGGAGAGGGACTGGACTATGTAGCTGGCCCAGGGGACAAAAGAAATGAGGACAATAACTGGTATTGCTGCTTCAGAGCCATGCGTGCCTTGGCCATGGATACGGCCTCCTCTCGCCTCCCTATGGGAGAGCTGCGTACTCACCGGCCCCCTCTGTGACTGTGCGGGGTCCTCTCCAGCAGGCTTCTCACTTACCCCATCTGAAAACTCACAGGGAAGCTGGGTCAGCCTCAGGCTCCTCAGCCTCCACCTGTAGGCTCTGCCCTTCCCAAAGCCTCGCCTGCCCCAGTGCAGACTTAGCCCTTTTCAGTGCAGTCTCTCCTCATCCCACAACTAGGTTGCTCCCTCAGTTTCCCCACACTGACCTCCTGGTCATCATTAGGACTGAACTGCTTGGCTGGCCTAGATCATCTTGTTTAGTCTTTGTCATCTCTGGAACACTGGGTCATCCCTGAGTGCCCTTCTGGATGGCCTAAGATCCCAGAATCCCATTCCTGCTACCAGCTTAGTTGCAGTCTTCTGGACAGTCACTCCTCCCATCTATACTTGAAGTCACCAGGCCTTGGTTTTCAGCAGGCATTCCCAGGGCCCTACCTTCTAGCCCCTCTGCCTCTGCAGTTGATCACCTTAGGACTCTTCTACCGACCATTCCCTGGGAACCAGCACACCCAGCCCTTCAGATCCCTGCAGCCTCCTAAATCAATGAGTGGGACTCTCTCACACTACCCCTTGCCTCACTGGACAGTCTGGCTCCCACTGAACATTCCTGCTTCAAAGACCCAGAACTCTGGACTCAGACTGTTAGAAATCACTGCAGCTGAACTTTCAGTGTATCCACAGCAGATGCCAGAGAGGGCAAGGAATTTGTGGGGTTCGCTGCAAGAGCCAGGCCTACACTGGAGTCACCTGACCCAGGTCCAGTGTGCCTTCCAAAATGCCAACATCTGGGGACACATGCCACTGTGCAGCACCTCACTGCCTAAGTGCCGCCTCCTCCAGGAAGCTTTCATTGGCTGCCCTAGTGCACAGGGAATGGCGTGACTCTTCTCTCTGTCCATGCGTAGCCTGCCTTTCACTATCCATGTGCTGGCCTCTCTGCCTCATGCAAACATTCCACCTGGATTCTGGCTGACAAGTGTTCTGGGCCCTGCTGTGCCCCGGGGAAGCTGGGGAGACGTGATTCCAGCCTGTGCCAGCCCCCTCATGTGCTGCTCTTGCTCCTTTCTGCCTCACCTGATGGTGGGGACCTTGTCTGCTCATTGCAGGCCCTGAAGCGGGCCTCTTCCACTGTAGCCTCTTCCCTCCCTTAGCCCCAACCTGGCAGTAACTCTCCTCACGCCCCCACCACCTGTTCATGGCCCTGTCCTCACTCCTTAGCCCACTCCCACCTGCTGCTCTGGGGCTACACAGCACCTAGATATGCACGTGTGACAGAGGAATGTGAGGAATTTGCACCCTTGGAGTGAACTTTTACCCATAGGAATAGGTGAATGGTTGGGTAAATTCTTACCTCTTCCTCTACCACTTCTAGACTTTTCCTTCCTTCCATCCTTCCTTCCTTCCTTCCTTCCTTCCTTCCTTCCTTCCTTCCTTCCTTTCTCTTTCTCCCCCCCGCCCCCCACCTGGGATCAAACTTGGGACCTTGCGCTTTTGAGGCAGGCGGCAGCACCACAGAGCTAAACCCCCCAGGCCATTTCTAGACTTTTCTGAGAAGGAGAGCACAGGGTCATACTTGGTCACCAAGCAGAGGCCTGTTCCCAAACACATTCCTGAATTGCTTGTCTCTTTCCCCGCTTTACTCCCCCTGTTCCTCTTGCCTGGGACTGCAATAATAACAAAAGTGTCCTATCAGCCTCTGCTATGGGCTCTACTTTCTAGGGGATCCAGGGTAAGCCACCATCATCCTGGAGGAAGGAAAGGTCTGCCACATGCTGGGTGTCCCTTGAGGCTACTCCTGGCTCTCACAGTCCGTGGCTAGTCTGTGGGGCAGGGGGACACTGTCAGATTTAGGGACAGACTCACCTTTGCAGGCCTGGCAGCAGGAGTCAGGCAGTGGGAAGGGTGCGGGGCAGCCGGGTTCAGGGCAGGTCATGAGGCCACAGTAGATCTGTCCCTCCTGACAGACAGAGCAAATGGGGGCTGGAAATGAGCTCTGATGAGGACCAGTCTTCAGGGGTCTGGGAGCCCCCTTTCTTGGAAGCAAATGGTCTCAAGGTCTCCCCAGGAGTGGAAGAGGGAGGGGGCAACCTGAGGCTAGGGGAAAGGCCCAGGCAGCTCAGAGGGAGTCATCCCTGGGACCCTCCTCTCCCACTGCCAGCCCTGAAGGGGTTCAGCCTTCAGCTTCTATAGCGTTTTATACCCTATCTTCCCCAGTCTCTCGCAGCAACCTGGGAGGGGGGTTCTTCCCATCTTCCAAATGAAGGGAATACCAGTGGGTGGGTGGGGCTGTGGTATCAAGTCAGACAGCCAAGGCAGAGGCCAGCCTTCAGGCTTTTCCAATGGAAATCAATGTCCTTTTCCCTGGCCTGGAACAGGGGCTGAAGGGTAGAGTGTGGTGGGTATGGCAGGGGACCCAGTAGGTGACACCTGGGCTTATCTTCCTCTTCCTGAAAGCCCTGGGCCTCCAACTTCAGGAGCCAGCCTTGAATGGCAAGACTGAAACCAAATTGCCTTCTGGAAGGCAGGAGATCAGATGACTTTGGTGAAGACTTTGCTTCTCTGGGCCTCAGTTTTCACCTCTGTGAAATGGGGGCACTCATCTGGTTGTGATCAGTTGAGAGCATGGTTGTGAAAACTGTCAAAAGGCACAGTGTTTGTGGAGGAAGTGGGGTGACCTTGAGTCCTCTCCCTATTCCTCCCAAGAGTCAGAATCTGATCCTCAGATCAGGCCAGAGTCAATCAGTCCCATAAACAGGGATGAGAAGAAAAGAACGGGGACCTAAGTATCCAGGGAGAATGGACAAAGGAATCACTAGAAAGTTCATCCCAGGCTACCAGCATCATTTCTGCCTCTTCCTACCGCCCCCTCCTAATCCAGGCTCTCCCTCTTCGTGTGAGCAGCTGACACAGGGAAAGAATGTGGGCTTCTGGAGTTGTGTAGCCCTGGGTCTGCATTCTGGCTCTGCCGCTTACTAGCTATGTGTTCTTACGCAAGTCACTTAACTCCTCTCAGCCTCAGTTTCCTCATCTGAAGAACAGGAATAGTGATATCCTTCACTAGAGCAGCAGGGATGCTGTATACAAACAAGGCGTTTCCATGAACCTAGGGGTACAACATACGAGACCACTGGGAGAGTCTCAGGCCCTGAAGAAAGAAACAACTACCTGGGCCAATGACCAGGCACTCCCTGTTATTTGTAGGTTATTTGCAGCCCAGATACTTTAAGATTGAGCCTCAGACTGGTGGGCTCGTTTCTCTGAAGAGATGGGCAGTAGGCCTGAGGCCACATGGAACCAGGCCAGAGCTGGAGCTCCAAAGTGGGTCTCCAACACCTTGACTAGAGAGGACATTAGAAAAACCTAGTCAGACTCCCTCATGAGCTAAGAGGAACTAAGGGCAGGGAAGTCTGATGACTACCTAATGAGGAGACTGGGAAGGCAGGGGTTTCTCCTGCCCATTCACAGATAAGGTAAGAATAACATCCTGAGAGCCACATGCAAACCTGATCAGGTCCTGCTTCGCTTCAGCCTCTGTCCCCTGCTAACACTAGAGTCAGCCCTGCCTGTCCTTAGGCCCAACTCTGAGCACAGGCAGGAGGAGTTTAAGTAACTTTAGGTTAAATTCCATTGCTACCATCTGGCCTTGTCTCTGTGCCCCAGGACTGACAACTGATCATTCACATCTTTGTTCTGCAATTATTACAGACATCTTCTGTATATCAAGCCCTGGGCTAAGAGCAGCAGAGAAAACAGAAACAAGATGGTCATGTTCTGGGGCTGGGGCCGTGTGGCTCAGTTGTTGAGCATTTGCCTAGCACGCCCAAGGCCCTGGGTTCAATCTCCAGCACCCCTCCCCAAAAAGCTATGTTCCTTCCTTTCAAGGAGTTCATTGGAGGAAACAGAGAAACAGAAATAGGCCATTGTCAGCAGCAGGTAACCAGTGCTGTAACAGGAAACTTGGGAGGGCAAGGAAGCCCAGAGGAAGGTCACCTGACGCAGCTAGGGTCAGGACATCCCATACTCCAGATGCCTCCCCTTCATTCTACTTTGCTATGAATGGGGAACCCCCCTCCCCCATCCACACTATTGTGCTCTTGGCAAGCAGGACACTGGCCTGGGCTGCAGGGACAGTGAATTCTTACCGTACAGCTGCAGAGGACACACTGGTTGGGCAGGCGGCCAGGGAACAGCTCACGGACACTGAAGATCTCTCCATGTTGGTACATGGTCCCATTGTGCTGGCAGGACTTTGGGGGGGCCCGGAGCCCAGAAGGGGTATGAGGTTCTGCAGGTGGGGAAGGGCAGAGGAAAAAGAAAATGAAGTTTTGTGTGGATCTAAGATCTTTGCCAGATGTAAGTAGACCACTTTTCTAAAGAGTACGCATTTTATCTCTTCTTGGCATTTAATCTGACTTGGCCTTGGCCTTCCCAGCCATTCCCCACATCAGCTAACTAAGATGTCCTGCTGATACCCACATCTGACCATGTCCCTCCCATGGTCTCCACCACAGCCTTGCAACCCCTTGGTGTCTGAGATGGCCCTGACCAGAGCAAGAAGGAAAGGCCAAGAGCCTCAGCTCCACTGAGGTCCATGAACACTCACGGAGCACTTTCCAGGGCCAGGCACTGTTACAGGCGCAAAGGGATACAGCTGGGGAGAAACAGTCATGGAGTTACATCCCCCGGAGTCAGTTGGGATGATATCCAGTCTCTGTGCTTGGTGTAAACTGTTGCCACTCTCTGGCCACCAGAGCCCCATCACCTGCCCATGTCTCGGCCCCTATCCTGCTGGTTGAGGGGGAGGCCCCCAGTCTTGAGAAAACCCACTCATTCATTCCAGGTACCTTTGCTAAGAACCTTCATGGGAGCAGGAGCCCTGCTAGGCATTGGGAATAGAGTGATGACCAAGACTCAGCCCCTGCCATCAAGAAACTCACAATTGAATTGAGTAGAGAGACAAGCCACAAGCAATGGCACTGTGATATGGTAAAGGCCAGGTGGATGGGAGCACAGAAGCTGGGGCAGCATAGAGGAGGAACCCTAACTTAGCAGAGGAGAGGAGGTTAAGAAGCCCTTCTGAAAGGACTGATGGCTAAACAGAGTCTTGAAGAACAAGTACAGCTGAGCTGGCAAAAGGGCAGAGGGTTAAGGGGCAGGATAAAGAGCATTTGAGGATGAAGAGCACTGGACTAGGCATGAGGAGTCCCAAAGTCAGCCAGGAGAGGTATGGACCCCTGGAGTCCATACTGGATGTGGAGAAGGCATGATGCTCCTCTCTGGGCAGGATGAGGCTGGAAGCCTCTGCTTTCCCAGGGAACCCAGAGCCAGGAGTCTTCATGACCCATGGTCAGATCCCTGCTGGGCTCCCCCTTAGTAAAGGGGACTCTCCTCCCCAGGAGGGCCAGACGCCAGACACCAGAGCGAAGGCAAAAATCAAAGTCCTTGCTTCCTCATCATCTTGATGTTTCTGAACATTAATTCTCCCACCGCTCAAGTTGGCCTTGGCACTGGCTGCCCCTCCCAGGGCACTTGGCTGTGCCAGTTTCTTCTCAGACCACTTTTCCTCTCTCTTCCCTTTACTGCCCAGAGCCTCAGGCCCAGAGGCTCTTAATATCCTAAAATCATGGAATCATAGACCTCTAGCATTAGGACACAGAGTGTCCCCACATTTCAGCACAGGGAGGAACCTCAGAGTACATGCATTCACTCCTCTGTCATTCCCAACTCCAGGTGGTAATCACTGAGTCTCCCCTCCAGGGCTGCCAGGGTTTGGATGCTGTTTGAGTGTCCCTAGAAGTCCATGTGTTGGATGGAACCTTGGTCCTCAGTGTGGCGGTCTTGGAAGGCGGTGTGACCTTTGAGAGAGGGGCCTAGTGGAAGTTGGTTAGATCACTGGGGGCACTGCCCTTGGAAGGGAACAGTGTAGTTCTCCTGGGATCCTAGTTAGTTCCTGTGAGTCAGTATCAAGCATGCTCTTGTCTCCTTCTGCACGCAGCGAGTGAGTTCCCTTTCCGGTTCTCCCCCATGTTGCGACTCTGACAGAGGGAACCTTCTCAGAGGCCAAATTGCTGGGGCAACCAGGTCTTGGGCTTTCAGCCTCCAAAATTGTGAGCTAAATAACCCTCTTTTCTTTAATAAGTACCCAGGTATTTTGGTTGTTACAGTGATAGAAAATGGATGGACCAAATGCAAGGACCTCCCAGCCCAAGATCACTCACCTTCCCTTCCCAGAGCGTGTCCAGCCTGCCGAGAGACTGAAGTTCAAGTGTGCCAGTCAGTGTGCCAAGCAAGCCCCAATCTATTGTTTCTGCCTCCCAACTGATCCTGAGAATTTGTTACTACCCCAGCCCCACCTAGAGACCTGGGATGTTCCTGCCCTGAGCATCTCTGCGTCTCATCACCTCTGCTGGGCAGAGACCGCAGCTCTCCTCTCAGGAGCTTTACTCAGCCAGGGCCCTGTGTCTGGAGTGAGGTAATGGTCCGTGGGCAGCAGGGAGGCTGGCACGAGGGGAGGGGAGGCTACTTACCCACACACCTGGGACAGCACTGCTGCGGCTCCAACACGGGCTGGGGGCAGTGGACAGGTGGGCAGCGCAGCTGGTAACAGTTCACATGGGCAGTCTGAAGGGGACACAAGGGTCAGCCCTGGTCCCAAGGAACCATTACTTCCCACCTGCTCAGGTCCTCTCCCAAAGCCTCCACCCCAGCTGCAGAACTCTGACTTGTGATTGGGGTTAAAAACAATAAGCTCAAGAAAGCCCAGTCCCTCCCTGCCCCTGCCCCTGCCCACTAAAGGGGCCTGCCTCATGCACTCCACTCATCTGCATCCCTCCCCTACCCTGGGGAAGGGCAGACCTGGGCATGGATTTGCTCAGATCTTGTGCCCCTCTTCAAGGTGTGTGAGAAATACAAGTAAAAGCTTTGAGTTGTTTGACATTGATCTCGAAGCTTTGACTGTGGTATTTTGAGGGAGGATTGAAACAGGGTCTCGCTTTGTAGTTCAGGCTGACTTTGAATTCACTATGTAGCCCAGGCTGCCCTCAAACTCAGAGTGATCCTCCTGCCTCAGCCTCCTGAGTGCTGGGATCACAGGTGTGCACTGCCACACCCAGCCCTGACTGTGTTATTATAACTCTAGGGCTTTATTCTTCTAACTCTGGGCCTGAGCCTTACAGGAAAAGGAGGAATGAAACACAAGAGAGCAGGATAGGGACAAGACTACAAACCCGATGTGGAGAAAGCTCAGGGCTCTGTGATTCCCATGCCCTAAATCTCTGGAAGGTCCAGGTAACTCTGGACAGAGCCTTTAGAGTTGGCACCAGAGAAGGAAGGGCCCAGGGTTCTTTCAACTTTCTCAAGTACAGCAAATACGAGAATTGCACAGAGGAACATGCATAGAGAGAGATGAGCAGAATCAGAGGGAGGGAGGCCATCACCCCTTTGGGAGGTCTGCCTAGCTCTCCGGGCAGTGTCCAGGGTCTGCTCAGCCTTCCCACACCTCGCTCTTCCCCTTGTCGCAGGCTCACAGCACTGCATGGTGACCAGCCACGTATGTCTGTCTCACCTAATCAACCGTGGACTCCAAAGGAACTGCCAGCACAGGCCCTTGCCCCAAGTTAGTGCCTGCTAATGTGCGAATGAGTGAGGGAGTGAGGGAGTGAGTGAGTGATGAAGGGCAGCAGAGAGCAGAGGCATAGATGATCTCTTTTACATGAATGGACTCAGCATTGTTCACAAGTGGGAAATTGGTAAAGTGTATTTCCAGCCCCCTTCCTCTTTTCCTTCCCTCTGCCTTCTGCCCAGCAGAGGTTCTGACAGCACTTCTCCCACCAGCAGCCTCCTGCCTCGGGGGAGGGGGGCAGCCCAGACCGGCCCCAGCTTCTCTGGGGCTCACTGCTGCCCAAGATGGCGAGAGAGAATGGCAAGGTCTAAGGAGTGCTAAGGGCCACTGGAGGCCAAGTACACATGAGATCTTCATCAGCGTTAAGAGGGTAAACGGGGGCCCTCAGATGAGAAACTTGGTGGAGTGCAAACTGTGTGGCCAGAAGAGATAGAATTTCTGACTTGACCCTGGCCTTGGAGGAGCCACAGGTTTGAGGTGACTTGCTGCTCACAGCTGGAAAACAGGTAGAGGCAGGCTGGGGGTGAAAGGGCCAGAGCAAGGCATATGGTGAAGTCCTTTGTGGCCAAAGGGAACGGCTCAGGAAAGTTTCAACCATCGTGTATTGAGTGCCTATGAGGCAGGACCTTTATATGAAATGTGCAAAATTATCTCATCTTCTTAAACACAACCTTAGAAGTAGGTACAAGAGAAAAGGGTATCCTGGAGGTGAACTGCTTGCAATCACACAACAGGGTAAATACTGTCACTGGGGCTTGGGAAAGCTGAGCTGCCTCTAGTGGACAGGCATAGGCCAGGCCCTCATTATGCACACTCAGTGTCCACTGGGGCCTAGGCCCCCTTCAAAGCACTAGGAGCCCAGCAGTGAGCAGCAGTGAGACCGCCCTTATGTCCTGGTGGTGGGTGATAGACTAGAAAATAGTAAGCAAGTAGGAACAAGACAATTTCAGGTGTTAAATTTGTGGCAAAAATAAGGTAGAACAATGTGATTGGGTTAACAGTGTTAACTATTTTAGAAACAGTCACAAGGGAAGCCTCCTGAGGAGGTAACATTCCTGTTAGGAACTGGAAGACAAGGAGCCATTTGTGAGAGGGCCTGGGTGGGACATTCCAGGCACTGGGAGTGACCAGGAGTATTTCACATGTTGGAAGAACCCACAGAATGCCAGCAAGGCTACAGCTCAGGGACCAAGTAAGGAGTGAAGTTGGAGAACTAGGCAGGTGGAGGATTCCACAGAGCCTCTGCAGGGAATCGGAATTTTATGGTAGGTGCAAAGAAAAGCTATTGGACGATTTTAAGAGTAGAGTGATGCAATCAGAACTGATCATTCCAGCTGTTGTGCAGAGGATGAATTTTGAGGCGGGGACAAGGGAGACCTGTTAGGAGGCTTGAGCAGCAGCCCAGGTCAGAGTCGAAGGTGGCTGAGGTTGGGCGGCGATGATGGAGAGGGGTAGAAGGACTTGGGTGAATTTCAGTGCTTTGGGCTAAGGAAACTCTGTGTGTGTGTACTCTGGGCAAGGAGAAATGAATTAGCTCCAGTAGATCACAAAACTTGGACTTTGTCAATTGGACCGCATGATATGTCTGGAATTTTCTGTTATGGTTTCCTTTCTGTTCTCTGGCTATGCTTCATAAAGTTCTTTTTGAAATGGCTGAGTGGCCTCAGATGTGCTAAGGAAATGCAAGGGGAGGCAGTCATGGGGGGTGCCTATTTGTGTCAAGGTTCTACCTGAGGCCAACCTGGTAGAAGCCTTGGGGAATCAGAGGGAAGTACCCCAGGAGTGACCCTCAGTGTCCCTCCTGCCCCAACCCTGGTTGCCTCAGAATTCTGTGCTGCATGGTTCTCATTTATTCCACATATTAACTGTACAAGGCCCTGTGGAGGTGCTGGGTGGGTGCTCAATGTCCTCTAAAGGTCTATGTGGGTTGGTCCCCCATTTGGTGCTATTGGGAGGTGCTGTGGACCTTCAGGAGGTGGGGCCTTGTGTGAAGTCTTAAGTCACTGAGGGGATGCCCTTGAAGGGGTTGAGGGACTGTGGTCTCTTCTTCTCTTTTGTTTGCTGGCCATGAGGTGAGCAGTTTTGCTGTGATGTGTGCCTCATCACAGGCCCAAAGCTACAGGGTCATTTGATCATGAACTAGAACTTCCAAAAGTGTGAGCCAAAATAACCTTTTTCTCTTTATAAGTTAATTATATCAGGTGTTTTGTTATAGTGACAGAAAGCTGACAAATGCAGTTGGGGTGAGGATGCAAGAAATAAAAATGAAAATGAAGATGTGGTTTCTGCCCCAGTTGGTTCAGCCTCTGGGAGCCCAAAGCCCAGCAAGACCTGTTCTCAGGCTCTCAATCAGAAGGGCAGTCATTGATGCACGTAACTGTCAATAGTGACAATAAGAAAGGGACAGTGAAAGTTATGGGGTGCCCAGAGGCAGAAACTGCATTTAGGTGGAGGTCATTTGCCCATTTGGACAAAACCTTGAAGAGCAAAGATGTGGGTCGGTGGATCTGGGGGAGGGCCTCCTGAGGCAGGGAGGAGACTCAGGTGGAGGGAATTGTACACAGGAAGACAGGAATAGGAGGGAAGGTCAGAAGGCTCTGTCTTGGGCTGTGTGGGAGGCAGGGAAGCTGGCATCAGTGAGAGCTGGGAAGAAGGCTGGGATGAGAGATGGAAGGCCCAGGGCCTCCACCCAGCCCAGCCACCGATCCGCTGTGTGACTTATCCCCAGCAGACCTGCTGAAGACTTGCTAGTGAGGGAACTGGCCCCGAGCCCCTCAGCTGTCTCTGACAGCATGATTTGAGATTTGAGGGAGCCTCACTCAGGTGCCCCAGACCTCTGGGTGCAGGCTGTCATCCCTACCTTCCCAGGTGACTCCTCTAAAGGTCTACCAGACACACCTGCCGCAGGTGGCCTGGTGGCCTGGTGGCCAGAGCAACCTACCTCAGAGCAGGTACAGCGCAGGCAATACATCACACCTTGTGGCTCCAGGTAGGGATGCCAGCTCTCGCCGGGGGAGTATCTCTTCTCATGGAAAAGGCAGAACAGGTCTGGCCCTGGCAAACCAACACATGCTGTTAGCCCCAGGAGGTGATAGCCCTAAATCTGCCTCATCCTTCCTCATTTCTGGCTCTAGGAAGGACATCATCTGCACCATCCTTCAGATGGTCTCTTCTATTCAGGCAACAGAACATCCACTAGATATGCTGTCCTAGTCAGAGGACCAGAATGTCTGATTTTGAATCTTGGCTTCACCACACACTTGCTGTATGGTTGGGCATTTACTGCCCCTCTCTGTGCCTTAACACTTATTCATAGGGCAGTAGGGAGATCAAGCAGTAAAATATTTGACAGACTTTGTTGTGGTGTAAATGTTAGTTATTATAATTAGATGGATATTATGGGGCCCACAGAGGATAAATTACTTTGCTAAGGCCACACAGCTATTTAGTCACCAAGCAGAGATGGCAGCCTGTCTCCTGACTCTCAGTCTAGTGCTCTTGTGCCTTCACAATCACATTTGTTTCTTTTCTTTCGTCCTATTTGCTTATTTATTTATTTGTATATCACCATGGCTTTCTTCTCTATCCTCCTCCCCACCACACAACACACACACACACACACACACACACACACACACACAGAGAGGCATGGACACGCAGAGCCCCTCTGGGTCCTGTGACCCACCTTTTGAATAAAACAACCCATAGCAACTTTCCAGCTTTTATACCAATCGATGTCCCTATGTCTTGGCTAGCCATGATGGAAAGGTGGCTAGGAAACTGATTTTTCCAAATCCCTAAACATCATCTTTGCTACTACTTTGAGATGTGCTTGGCACATGAATTGGCTTTTTAGTAATCTCCATATCAGTTGTTAATATGTAGGTGAATGCTTCTAAGAATAAATGAAATACTGGATTTTTGGGGGTTGGGGTAGGTTAGCTATCTCTCCCGCAGCTGTGCCCTCTTGAAACCTCCAGCTCCCTGTCATCTCTCGTAACCAAGGCACTCCTCCCCTCCCCTCTTACCTGCTGCCCACCTAGCCCTGAGTCAGGCCTCCTTCTGTCCAGCACTGCAGGCTCTGTCCACCTCTCTGCCTCTTGCCCTATCCCTGCCAACAATTCTCCATACAGGCACCTGTGAGCAGGGATCCCAGGAGAGATGCAATCTTTCCAATGGGAAGGTGCTCCGTTACCTGAGCTTTTTGGGGGAGGAATGGGGAGATGACGTACAAGCTAAGTGCCAGCAAAGTTTTGTTGGATTAAATGAGATTGCAATCTGGAGAAAAGAATCAACATAGAATGACTACCTTCTCTGTGCTGAACTTTTTATGTAAGTTTCTTAATGATCTAAATGTTGTTTTGAGAATTAAATGAGATAATGCTTGTACAGTGCTTACTGAGCCCAGTTCTTGAAACTTAGTTGGAATGCTATTGTTATATAGTTAAGATCATCTCAAAGATACCGCTCAGTAGACGTGATTGAATGTCATGAAAATTGACATAGTTTGAAATCTGGACTAAGTGATAATATCCATCCTGCAGAGGTTTTGCCTTTTATGAGAAAGCTCGATAAGAAAATGAAGTTCATAGAATCTAAGTGACTTGCCTGAAGCCATCCAGCTGCTGACTTGAACCTAGGGCTCTAGGCTTCAAAGAAGAGCTCTTTTGAATTCCCTCCATCACTTACGGTTTTTAACCCAATCTGCAGGCCTAAAGGCTCAATTTCCTTCTCTCTCTGTTTTACTGGCCACTGTCCTTCATTTTTTATTTTTTTCTCCTAGATTCCTATTAGGTTCTAGATGTTGCCTTCCTGGCTTTCCCATTCTCTTGGAAACATGGGCTCTCATGCTTTTAGACTGTCAGGCTTACAGAATGGCAGGGTACTGCCAATGGTACCCTCTTGGGTGCAGTGGGGACTCACATATAATGCTTGTATTCCCAACTAATCACTAGAGTGCTTAGGGCTGCTTAGGGCTTAGGGCTGGAGTGCAGCTCATGGGTCACCCTTTCAGAGAAGAGGAACTCTAGGCCATTCCTAACCCTCAGGAAGTTTTCTTTGTAAGAAGCTGAAATCAGCCTCTTGTGTTTCCTCGTATCACTCCTGTTTGGCCCTCTTGAGCCTCCCAGGACAAAAGTTTTGGGGCCACTGTCCTGGTGCGTCATTTTCTGATTCCACAGGCTATGAGGTCCTTAGGAACACACAGCTTAGTTCTCTCCCTACCAGCTTCTCAGTCCTCAACAGTGGAGGGAGCAACCAGACAGCAGATCCTTGCCCCAGTGAGCCAGCAAGGCCTGGCTGGGCCATATCAAATGGGCTGTGTTTATCTCTCAGCCTCCACTGGCAGAGGGTGGAATACAGCCCCAGCTGGGGTACTGGTCCAGCCAACCCAACTCTCCAAAGAGTGAATAATCTCTTTCTTCCTCAGGCCCCTCCCCTGACAAGGGTGGGTGTGATTCAACACTGTGGCCACCTTAGGTCAGCCAGTTGCTGAAGAAGCCCTGTCCTACCTTCCTTGGGGCGGCCCCAAAGCTTGTTCCCATGCCAGTTGGCACCCCTTACCTCCTCGTCTGCTTGAAGATCAAAGTGTCTCCGCCAGTGCCTGGGCCAGGAGGCCCCTCCCCCACCAGTAGGGCTGGCAGAGGCTGAGAATGTGAGGGCCTGGCAGGAGGCCTTCTGTAGCCACAGTCCCCACCCACCACACCCTTTAAGGTGAGAAACACAAGGAGGGGTGGCTATGCCTATGCCTGGAGCTGTCTCTTCCTCTAGGGAGATGAGTGCCCACGGCCATGCCAAAACCCGGTGGGAGGAGGACCAGCCGGGCCTGCAGCGACCTCTGTTCCTGTGGCTCTGGCACCAGCCCCAGCTGGGCCTTGTATGTGGCTGAGAGAAGAAGCTCTCAAGCTACACATTCACTGTGAGATGCTCTGAGCCTCAGTTTCCTATCTGCAAAATAAGGAGGTAGGGGAGAGCTATGAGCATAGGGTTTCTGTGTAGTTTATGAATTCATGATTTCAGATTCTGAGATTCTAACATTCTAGGTTTCTAAGATTCAAGATTTGAGAATTCCATGTTCTGTGAGCCTGCATTTCATCAGAACACAAAGTTTCTGGAATTCTACAATATTGTGGTTTGTTCCAAGATTTGTGATTCTTGGGTGTGTTGATGGTCTTCTTATCCATCCCAGGCCCTCAGGGACTCCAAATAGATTAGAGTGAGGTTTCAGGAGCCACTAGGGCCCAAGCCTGGGTGACACGGTGAAGGAGGCAGTTTGTCTCTAATATCTCTTCCCTTCCCAGATACCTCCTTTGTCCTCTGTGGCCTTCCACTCCTGGCCTGGCCCTGGCACTGCTTCCTCCCTCCACTACCATTTCTCATCCCAGTCCCCAACCTGTATATAAGTTTTTCTCCCCATGTCAGAGGCCAAGCATGTCTTCTCTCAAAGACCTTCTGGAGTCACGTAGGTCTGGATTCAAATCATGAATTTAGTTTTTATTTCCAGCCTGATTTTAGACAAGTTACTTAACCCTTCCAGGATTGTTTCCATATCTATTAAATGGGACTAATAACAATGTCTACCCCTCATGATTGTTGTATAATTGAATCAGATCATGTAGAAATACATGGTGAATGTTTAAATAAAGTTTATTAGAGTAAAAGGCACATTGATATTAATCCCACTCAAAATATTACCCCTCACTTTGAGCACACTTATCCCATTGTTTTGCTACTTTCTTTCTTTTTTTTTGAGACAGGGTCTTGAGATGCAGTTCAGCCTGGCCTCAAATTCATGGCGATCCTCCTGCTTTAGCCTCCTGTCACTACAGGGCAACTAAAGACATACTAGAAGAGAACTTCCAGAACTGTTTCAGAAAATGCCCAGAATGATGGGATAAATGTATTTGCATCAAGAGGAAGTATTTTGAGGGGGATTGATGGCAATGTGTCTTTTACTGCAATAATTTAAAAAATTTAAATATTCACTGTATTTTTGAACACATTGCATATGCCTAGTCTAACACGTTAGATACTCACTTAAATAGTAGGTAAAAACAGATAGGCAAAGCCAAGATCTGGGCACTCACCCTAAACTTCCTTCACTGTGTATTTCTCACCATGTTTCTTTTACTCTCACAGTTCTATGTAGCAGCCCCAGGCACCTATTAAGTGCATGCACATCATGGTACTCACTGAAGTTAAATCTCCCAGGTCTCACTGCCACACCAATGCTGTTTCCTGCAGCTCTCTGCTTTCTTCTAGTCCCACTCACAAGCCAGGCCAGTCTCTCTCAATGCCACATGAGCCCGCAGAGACCTCGGGCTGGGATACAATGATAAAAGTGGCTCAGAACGCTGGAGCAGAGAATGGGAAGGCCAGGGCATGAGAGGCAAGAGATCTGGCTGGACAGAGAGGCAGAGGCCCTCCAAGGGCCTTGAGAGCCCCAAGAGCAAAGGAAAACCATGGAAAAACCTTGATCTTGGGAGAAGTGAGTGGGAGATCAAGATTGCATTCAGGACTGCTTGCCATGGAGGGCAAGCCTACAGGCAGAGAATAGGGAGAGCTGTACAGTCATCCTGTTTGAGGCAGTGATGCACCTGCCCTTACGGTCTGACCATAACAGAAGTACTAAAGGGCAGAAGTGCAGATATGAGCAACACTTCCTATGTACAGTGAACAGGTGGTGGGATAGATAGGATAGGGCATTAGTGGAGAGGGTAAAGGAGGAGTCAAGGATGGGATGGAGGTTTGTGGAGTGAACAAGTAGGTGAATGTGATATCAGGGTGGCCCAGAGCTACCTCCTGTGAGGACAGCTGCAAGCCAGTTTGGGCAGCATGAAAATGAACAGAGATGAGGATGGAGCAAGGTGACCACAGTGGTGGCAACTCCTGGGTAGGGTCCAGAAAAAAAAATCTTGAGCTGGGGATTTAGCTCAGTGGTTCTGCTGCCTGCCTCTCAAGCACAAGGTCCGGAGTTCGATACCTGGTGCCAAAAAAAAAAATCTATAGGAAAATGTGGGGTGCGGCACAGTAGGCAGTAAATAGTATTATTGTTAGATATTTTACTTCCTGTTATTCATTCATTTATTGAGCTTTTTGTATCAAGCTTTATACACGTCCATGGACCTGGCACATGACTTAATAAGATGTAGTCCCTGCCCTTGAATAACACACAGCCTAATGAAGAAGACAGACAAATGTAACTGATAAATGCTATGAGAGTGAGACCACAAGGTCTTCAGAGCTGGGTCACAGAGGAAAAAACAAGGTGTGGGGGGAAGGGCTTCCCCTGCAAAAGCACAGTTGGGAGTGAGCATGGTTCACACGGGGCACTGGGAGACTGTCTTATGGGTGCTAGTGCCTCCTCCTCCAAGGAGTATCTACTTCAATAGACCCCCCCCCCCTTTTTGAGCAAGGGTCTCACTATGTAGGCCAGGTTAGACTTGAATTTGTGACCATCCTGCCTCAGTCTCCCAAGTGCTGGGATTACACACCCCACTCATTCTTTACCTATACTGACTACTTAAAGTAAGTAGGCTTACTTGATCTAATCTGAATCCAGAGCAGCAGTGTTTACCAGACAGACTCCCAAAGTTACCCTATCACCCCAGGCTGACTGCTGCCTGCTTTGGCAGCAAAAATCTTTGAGGTGGCCCTGCTTTCAGCCTCACATTCTTTTGCTGAGTTTCTCTAACTCTTCCACCATCCCACCAGGTTCCTTCACACTTCTGTGCCTTCACACATGCTGTTTCTTCCTCCTGGGATACAATTCCCCATCTCCAATGTTTGATCAACTCCTCATTCTTCCAAAGCCGGCTGGGATGCCACTGTTTCTGTGAAGCCTCTAACCTCATAAGACCCTGGCTTCTCCTTCAGGGGTGAGTTCAGCCCTTGATTACAGTGCTCATTGCCAGGGTTAGAAGTACTTGCTAAGTGGGTTTGTCTTTCTTGCTAAACTGTGAGCTTCTTGAGAGGAAGGGCCAGATCCCATTTAATTTTGTGCTCTATGCAGAGCCTATGCAGATTGATAAATGAATAAATGAAAAAAGAATAGAGTTAATGGAGAGGGAGTGGTTCTAGAAGAGGAGACAATTTTCAGTCCTTAATCCTGGAAACTTCTCTCTTTAACAGAAAGAGAGATTCATTACATGGAAGGAAAGCCAAGTCCCTCTCAACACTTTTGCCTTGCCACCTAACAGAAATTAGCCTTTGACCTCTCCTTCCAACTCCCTGCCATTGAACTCCCAATCCATCTGCCAAACCAAAGAACACCATGTACTAAAAGGTCAGGAGCCTGTGGCAGCTAAGAGGATGAGTGATTCTACAATCTTCATATGTAAGTCAAAATTTCCAAATTGTCCCCACCCAAGTGCACCCCACAGTCTGACTTGAAACCCTCAGGCTATGATATAGTTTTCCTCAGGGGTCAGTAGGAGAGACTAGTATGGTTGAGAATTCTTCTATAGGGAGCGGAAAAGACAGACAGGAAGAAACTTCTAGGCTGGAGGAGAGGCTGGATAAGGCTGTGAAAAGCCACCAGGAGGAGCCAGGGTAAGAGGAGAGAGGTCTGAATGTGGCTGGCCTGTCCCCAGCCTGCAAGAACTCAGAAAACTTGATGGGGCCTGGCTGCTCAGGAATGTGAGAACATTTACATCTCTTCCCTCACGCCCACACAGCCATATTTTCTGTATTTATTTATAGGCCCCTCTTCACACAAACAAATTTGCTCCCCTCTGAGACATAAAGTCTGCCCTGGGCTCTGGCATCTCTCTGGTGGGGGAGGCCTCTTAAGAGAAGCAACAGAAATATCAGCACCTTAGTGGCTGAGCTGTGCATCCTAGAGGAAGGGACCCACTTCTTTGAACCTTATTCCTTTTGTCTGTTGCACAACATGCCCAGGAGCATGAAAGGGCCTCAGAGCAGAGAACTGGCAAGTCTGGAAAGGCACCTGTGTTGCCTGCCAATGGCAGGGGCAGGGATAGGACTGTCAGCATTGTGTTCTGCCTTGAGCATATACACTTAGAGTCATAGAAGCCTAGAAAGTTAGGGTTCACATGATGCCCAATCTCTTTATGCTACATATGTAGAAACCGAGCCCCCAGGAGGGATTGAGACTTGTTGATTTGTGCCAGTACAAGCGACAATGCCAGTCTGCAGATCTGGAGAGGATGTTCATAAGGATCCACCCATTCCCTGTGGGACAAGACCAGAAGAAATGGCTTCAACTTGCAAATAAAAGGACTCAGGTGAGACATAATGAAGAAATCTTGAGTACAAGAACCGGAGAGCTGCTGGGGACCAGCTTTCTCCGAGTTGAGGTCAGCCCAGAGGCAGGGCGGCTGCCTCAATGATCCATCTCTACACTGCACCTCCCAGTGACACCACTGTCATGCCAGTCCTTCTTTCTGGGAGTCCAAAGGATTCAAGGTCCTTCTCCCAGAGCTGGCGCCGCGCCTGGTGGCTGGGCGAATTTGAGAGGCCAGTCCTGGAACAGGTGCAACAGCTGGAGCAATTGCGCAGCTGTCGCTTGGCCCACTCAGTGAGCCAGTGAGTGAGGCAGAGACCTCTACTGGTGGGAGAGGGGATGTGCAGAAACGCCCAGTCGGAGACCCAGGCACAGGCCTGCCGGCCTGGCTGCCTGCCTGGAGTTGCACTTCAGGCCTTCGCTCAGGTACTCTCCATCCCCTCATGCATATCTGGACAGGTGAATAGAGTGTGACCAAGATAAGCAGCAGGGCAGGGTCCCCACTGGTGAGTTTCCCACTACACTTGCTGCCCCAGGCTCTCTGGGCGCTCTGTCCTGGCGTCTGAGGGTCTGTCTGTCCTACACTCCCCCAGCTCCCCTTTCCTTTCCAAAAGTTAGAGTGGACTCAGAATCAGGGCAACCACACCTGTAGATCTTGAGACTCAGAATGAAGGGCTGTTAAGATAGAATGTCCTCAGTGATTATCCATTTCAGTCCAACTGTCTTACCCTACAGGTGGGAAAACTAAGATCCAGAGAGAGGCAATCTGTCCTGGCTTACAGTTGGAATCTGTGGCAGGGCCAGGCTGGAGCCCTGACCTGATTGCAAGTTTTCCCTCTGTACAACATCATACCATGGGACGCTCCCTTCCTATTCCAGGACTGGGGTCTGGGATTCCATCACCTGGAAACCAAAGTTTTAATTCCCATAATGCATGAATCCTTGAAGAAAGAATAGAAGGGTCCATGTTTCTACTTGGCCATTGACTCGCTCCTGAAAGAGGAGATGGAGGGAGGGAAGAGGAAGTAGAAGCATGCCAGGAACCTAAAAGGGATACATAGGGAAGAACAAAAAGGAGGGGATCCAGTGTCAAACCCACTTCTGGGTCCAAGAAGGGATGAGCAACCAGAGTAGAGTGACCAACATCACACCTGGATAGGGTTCAGTCTGGGCTGGGTCAGTACTAGTCAATAATCAGGCCAATGACAGCCTGTGTAAGGGTTCCACCCTGGAGTAGAATTGGGGTTCAATCAGTAGTCAGGGTTGGAGGTGTAGGACTCAGCCTGGGATTAGAGTTGAAACTCAGGCTGCATTATATCAGGGCTCAATGCATGGCTGGAAATAGAGACGGGTGGAAATGGCCCTGGCTCCACAGCCTCAGACTTGCACAGGGGAGAAGGCTGAAACCTCTGCTGTTCATGGACCCTCAGCACTCTGCAGGCACAGCCACCTAGGAGTGTGACACCACACAGACTTGAGAATTCCCGCCTAGTGGTACCACTTCTGAAAGCACTTCAGATGTCACCAGAAGATTTCTTACCCACGGCAAGCTTGAGGTCTCACACTGAGATGAGGCCCTTCATTACAGACCTTCAAAGAGGACCCTGACATGACTACTGGATGAATTCAAGATTCATAGTTTGTCAGCACTAGGCAACATGAGGTTCAGAGAAGGCTCAGGCAATAATTAAGTTGTCTCAATTCACACAGCTGATAAGTGACATGTCAGGGAGCAGGATCTAGGTCTCTGTTCCTTGGTAAATTTGCTGTGTGACCTTGTAGCCAATCACTCCCCCTTCCTGGGCTTTGGTTTAATTCTAAAGATGGGAAATATGCTAGGTAGAAGCAGATGAGGAGGCCCTTCCAGCCCAGACATCACAGGGTCTAAGCCTCCTCCCTGGAGAACAATCCCCCTCCCTTCACTCAGTGAGTTGGCTCCAAGTCTTTGCCTCACCAGTCTGGAGCCCTGCACCTGTGATGTGGAAGGGGAGATGAATTACTAGCAGGACCTGCTGAGAAGTATAGACTCAAAGGGAGTAGGGACACAGAGGAAGGTAGATCAGAGTAGATCAGGTCACCAGGGAGAGTAGGCTGGAAGAAATGACCAAGTGAGGCTGTGAAGGGCTCACAAGACATAGGAGGCAAAGAGGAGGGGTGTGAATAGGACAGAGCAATCCTTAACAGGGGTCTGGTTCTAGGACATCTTTCCATAATTCAACAAGGGGAATAATATCTGGAGTAAACTCTTGGGAGCTAAGAATAAGGCCAGACATGGCATGGAGGGCTCCTGCGCTAAGTCTCTTTCAGAAACAACAGGGAGGTAAGTATTGGGAAGAAACCTGTAGGGTTCAAGGAAGGGGAGGAGATATTGACAGAGTGTTCCAGCATTGTGCTGGGTATTTTAATACAATCACCTCCTTTAATCCTCCCCAGAACACTTTTGCTTCCAGGTTAATACCTCTCTTAGGCAGGTGAAGAAAATAAGCCTCAGAGAAGTTGTGTCTTATGATGTCATACAGCTATAAGAGGCAGAGCCAGGACTTGAACTCAACATTGAGTTCTTCCCATGACTTGTTCCTGAGGACTTCCATGGGCCTGAAACAAAAATATAGCACCACCAGCTCTAGCAAAGTCAGGTGCAAAAAAAAAAAAGCATGGGAGGAGCTGAGCTGGGGAGGCAAAAGAACATGGGCTGGGAGTTGGGCAACTGGCATCTTAATCCTAGGCTTTGCCCTGTGCGACCTCGAGCAAGCCACTGTCTCTACCATCATCACCACCACAGATGCCACCCCCTGCTGCAACCCCTTGCTTTGGTTTATCAAACATTTCAGGTTCTGAAATAAGCTCCTTCATTCACTTTTAGAGAATCTTTGTTTCATTTTCATTCTCACAGCATTCTAAGAGACTGGCAGGGGACGTGGACAGTGTCAGCCTATTGGGAGCACTGAGGGTCAGAGAGATGATATAACCTGCCTGAGGTCGCGCTGTGTCTTACATGGAATTAGCCAACTGTTATTTCCTGAGGAGCTACATACATCAACCTTGTGCTGGTTGCTTTGCCTATTTTCCACAATCTAATTCTCCTAACAGTCCTGGGATTTTTTTACTCCCATTTCATAGATCGGAAAACTGAGGCTCAGAGAGGTGCCTCCCACCAGCTGATATTCAACGGGGCTGCAGTGAAGATCCTGGTCTATTTCTCTGTGTCCCAGAGCCTCACAACTCCAAATCAGGGTCCCTTCCAGACACTATGGGGGCAGGATTTGGAATTAGAGAGCTCTGGCTTTGGAAAGAGCATATTAGCTCTATAAATTCCAGCAAGTTCCTTCTCTTTTCTCATCTGTAAAGTATAAATGGTGAGGGCCGGGGATTTAGCTCAGTAGCTGCCTGTCTCAAAAGTGCAGGGTCCCGAGTTCAATCCCCGGTACAAAACAAAAAAGTATAAATGGTGAAACCCACTGCAGAGGAGTGTTGTGAGGATCAAATGTGACCAAGAACTGCCAAGGTTATCCTACTTAGCTCTTACTCCTTCTCAAGGGCTCTTCCCAAATGCAATAGTCTTCACACCCCATCACACCCCTCTCCTGCAGCCAGACATACCCAACTGTTTCCTAGTCCGCTGTCCTCAGCCAGTCCATACTCAGGTCCAAGGAAGCAGCCTCCTCAGCTCTGAGTCTGGCAACCCCTGGGTCCCCAGTCTCAGCCCATAGGGGACTACAGAAGAATCTTTGCCTCCCGGACACAGGTGCTGCCCCGAAGGCTGTCACAGCAGTTAGTAGGGGTCTCCGGTCCTAGCATTTCTCCGCACGTCCCAGGGGCCCGTCCCTCCTCTGCCCGACCAGCCTCCCCCTCTACTTACGGGCTCGAGCGTGAGAATCCAAGGGGAACCAGAGCAGCGCGAGTCCCAGCAAGAAGGAGAGGACCCTCACCTCGGGAACCATCCTTCCTCTCCCCGGGGCGGGGCCGCCCGGCTCTGAGCCTGGAGGGGAGCCGGGAGAAAGTGAGAGGAAGGGGAAACTGAGGCACGGGGCACAGCTCCGTCCACTCACCGGGAGAGGGGAGTCAGAGAAGGGTGGAGAGGAGGAAAGGCGGACGGGCAGGGAGGGCTAAAGTGGGAATAAGAGAAAAGTGGAAAGAGGACAGGAGAAGCGGGGGGAGATGGAGAGATGGAGGAAGGTCGGGCAGAAGGGAAAAGCAGTGAAAGAAAGGGAGACGGTGAGAGGCCAAGGAGGAGAAGAAAGGCGCGGACGAGGGTCTGTGGGGCGCGCGGCGCCGGGCGCCCTGCGCGATGGGCTCGGGGTAGCGCGGCGGGGGCCTGCGGCCCGGCGGCGCGGCTGGCGGGCGCGGGGAGGCTGCGCGCGGGCCGGCTGTGCACGCCAAGGGCGCCAGGCGCCGCGCTCGGGCGCATTTGTACTTTGCCGCGGGAAGCAGGCAGCCCCGGCCTGGCGCTGGCCTAGCGCTGGCGCCTCCTCTGGGGCACCGCGGGCTCGTGGATTGGCCACCCGAGAAACAGGCCCGCTTTCCCCTCCTCTCTCGTGCCGGTCTCCGGACAGACGCTCCAGGCGCGGCGCCGAGTGGAGCGAGGGGGCTGGGGAGGGGGAAGGGGCCACCCGGGCCACTGGCTTTAACCCCTGACTCCCCGCGATGCCTAGAGCTCAGGAGGGGTGGGACCCAGTTAGACTTCAGGTGGAGCTTTCAGGTAGAGAAGGACGAGATGTCAGGGTCGGGGCGGGGAAGTGGGCTGCGGAACCGGAGAGGTCGGGGCAGGGCGCTTGGCGGTGCGTGCGCAGAACTCCGCATCTGGATGGAATCAGGACACTTGCCATTCTTAAATCAGTTTGTGGTCTTGGGCACGCCACCTCAGAGTCTGTTTCCTCGGCTCTAAACGGGAGTTTTAATGTCTTTAATATCTTTCCACCATTGTTGGGAAGATCAAATGAAATTACTGAATGTCGAAGCGCTCAAACCTCAGAGAGAAAGAAGCCTGTCGTAACTTCAGGT